AAATAGTACAAGATTGTACTTCACTACAAATAGTTTAAGGTTTTTAATGAGACAAGGGACAATGAGGATATGACGAGATTATCCTCTTTGACTTCAAGTATAACAAAAGAAAAAGATTAGATTGCATTTCTATTCGAGATATACAAATTATCTATTTTTTTTTCTTTTTGTTTAATCTAAAAATTAATTTTCGTTCCATCAATTTTTGGTGGGCAACAATTTCTTTTACTACATTAATTTATATCCTCTCTATATATAATTCCCGAATGCGCTGAGCTTACGTGATTGCTTCTGGTAATTCAGAATTCTATTTGGCGAAGAATCATGCTTTGTAGTTAGGTTTGAACAAATAATATTATATATTAATAATTAATAATGTAGGTTCGGACATTCTATAAATATTATTTAACTATTTTAGGTATTTTAATATCAATTGTTCTAATATAACCCTTTAATTCTTTATAATTTTTGATAGTGTGAATATATCCTTGACTTTTGATTTGTTTCATACAATTAGTTATTGAATTGTAAATGTATTTTAAAAGTTTATAACTTTTGTATTTCTTATCGGTTTTACATATATAATATATTAAATTAATCATCTTTTGATGATCTTTGATTTGACATCCATATTGTATATATGAAATAAATAAAATATATTTACCTTTATAATAACAAAAAATAATAATATTTACCAAAATTCATTAGAAAAATAAAATTTATTTCTCAATTGATATATTTATGTTTAATGTAGTTATATGTTGTAAGTTAACAAATTATTATAATATAACATAAATAAGTCGCACAAATAAAAAATGTCATACTAAATATAATAATATAAATATTTTTATAAGGTATTTAAATTTTCAACTACCTTTTCTCAGTAATTTTAGATTTTAAGAAAAAATTAGCAAACATCCGTGTAATACACGATTGTACTAGTAATTTATTTATTTTAACACAAAAAAAAAAGGTTCCCCAAACCAAAATTGTAATAATATAACCAAAGCTCATTCCACAATTTGAGTAATTTTCTCGTCTTCATCGTTCACGGATCTTCTCCCGTCATCACCCACAGCTGAGCTCCCAATCTCTCCTCAATCTCCCAAACTGATGCAAAAACGGACACGCACAAATTGTTGGTCGCACCTCAGTTTAACTTGGCGATGATTGATTTGTTCTGGTTTTGGTGAGTCCATTCGTTTCCAGTGTGGGGATCAACTGCCGTTACTCAATTCATTTATGATCCTTAATGTCATTCTGTTTCCATCTTAATATTAAGTTAAATATTACTGTTATTTTGACTGGCGTTAGTGTTGTTTACGAATAGATCAGGCTGCCATTCAAGTTATCCTCTTGCTTTCCATTATTATTTCGTGAGATCTATGCGATGCATTATGCTCGAAGGTGATGAAGGAATATGAAGTCACTGTTATCTGACTACCGCCGCATAAGGACATGTTAATGTTGTCATCTTGAATTCATGGGGGTTTTACTTTGAGCACTCCTTATTTCATCCATTTATGGCTCATTTTGTTCTATCAACCAACCTGGATTAACTGCAACTCTTCCCGTGTTTTGATGTCATCATTTAGCCATTTTTGTCTTATGCATCAGATATTGGGTTACAAATGTACTTAACCAAAGTAGTCTGCCCCTTTTGTTAATTTCTCGTTTTCATTTTGGGAAAATATACTTATATGTGAGGAGCTGTTTTTTTGAACCTCAACCTCAATAATCTTAAAAAAAATGCACATACATTTGTGGAGTAAGATACTTCGTCAAAGCCGATGTAATATATAGTTGATCGCCAAACTTCTTCCGCGTCACTGAGAATGTTGCCACTCTCCCTCCCATGTTGTGAAAGTATCAATTTATAGTCACAGTGTTTAAGGCAGGAACGTGACTAGATATGTAGGCTCACTGCATAATGTTGTTTTCTTCTGAAACATGATACTTACAGTTACCTTCCAATAGTATTTCTTTGTAGTTTATCACTTAATATAATACAGTTTTCCTTGGCCATTTATTCTTTCAGGTTTTGAAAAATACATTATAGGTTTTCTGTTGCCCAGGTGATTGCAAAGGACATTTGCAAAGTTCATTTGGTGGAAAGAATGAGTTGTTTTGGCTGTTGTGAAGAATATGACACCAGTAAAAATGCTGATGGTGGAGGGCAGTACCCAGTGAAAAACGCTTATGGTAATTTTATTTCTGATGGAGATAGGATGTTAGTTTTTTTGTTGCTTTTTTCTCTTTTTCATTTTTCCCTCAAATAAACTTCCATAAGGGTGGTGGTTTGCTGCTCATCAGTCATCCCAACCCGTATATTAGAAACCATTGTTTATACAGTCATGCATATTTTGTCCAAATTCTATACAAAATTTCAGCACCATGTTTTATACTTCAAGACTGTGGTATCTTTTCTTTGTGCTTCCATTAATTATGTCATATCTGGAGTACAGAAGTTAAAACGGTGTTCACTTGCGTTGCTAACTCCTTGAAAGAGCACTTGGGGTCAATGCGAGAAAGAGAGAAGCTATATAGATTATGACTGAACTTCGCTTCGCCTGTACCTTTCACTTCGACGGTGTTCACTTGCGTTGCGAACTCCTTGAAAGAGCATTTGGTTTATATTCTAGCCTGAAATTCAGTATTACAGCACATTTTGATTTAACCTGTCTCCTGTGCCATTGTATGCTTGCGACACTTTTTTGCTAGAGCAGAGCTTACTTAGTTTAGTCGACATTATTGAATCTTTCTGATGTTGCTGCTCCTTTTCTTTTGTTATTTTCTTTTTCTATACATCTGTATTTTGTAGAATATGGTTCACTTATTTCATTGTCGACATGAGGATCAGTATAAACACACATATTTTTCTCTTGTAGGAAATGATGGAGGCTATCATTCAACAGAAGCTGCAACTAAACACCCAGCTGTAAAAATACAGCCAATTGCAGTCCCTTCTATTTCGGCGGATGAACTGAAAGAAGTTACCAGTAACTTTAGCACTGAGTCATTGATAGGGGAAGGATCTTATGGAAGAGTGTATTATGGGAACCTTAGGAATGGTCGTGCTGCAGCTATTAAAAAGTTAGATGCAAGCAAACAACCAGATGATGAATTTTTAGCTCAGGTTTCTCTCGAAGATGTAATATAAATCTGATTCAAGGAATTCATACCTCGGCATTCAAATCATCTTACTTTGGTTTCTGCAGGTGTCTATGGTTTCTAGGCTAAAACACGAAAATTTCGTGGAACTACTTGGTTATTGTGTTGATGGAAATCAGCGTGTTCTTGCGTATGAATTTGCATCTAATGGATCTCTTCACGACATCCTTCATGGTATGTGATATCATTTCTTATAACAGAGTTGTTTTCTCTTGGACATCATGATTACATAGTAAGAAGGCTTATATTTTTCTTCTATTCCGTGAGTGTAGTCACCTTTTGTTGAATAAATATGTTACTTATTTCATAAGTTGTTTTCTCTTGGACATATCATGATTACATAGTAAGAGTGCTTCCACATTTCTTCTATTTAATGATTGTAGCCTTTTTTAATCTAGTAAGTTTGTTTTCTTTATCCCACAAATGATTCTATTCTGTCAGTGGTAATTGGATTTGTGCAGTTCACCCATACAAACCGGTTACAGTTCCAGAAACGCCCTGTAATTCGATAGTTTACATATGAATTTATGTCTACATTATAATTGCTAAACCATTTTAATTATTTATCAACTTATACTTACTAGAACTAAAGAAAGAAAAAATAAGGGGTTTGAACTTGATATACGAAATGAGATTGTGATTTATCTAGTTTAGAATTGTAATGTAGAAGTGGAGCACTTTAACAAACCAGAGTTTTAGATTGTGAAAAAAACCATCTCCCTGTGTACAACCAAAATAAAATACTACTGTATCCAAGCATTGCTCTTTGCTATGATGCTGCCGCTACCACATCTCTGGGAGAGTTCAAATCCATGAGCATTAACAAGCTGGAAGCAATGTTAAAAATATTCAATTGAAGAAATCATTATCAATTAAAATAAAAAGAAATAAAGCCTATCCCAAACTTTTTGCTTTGTCTTTGCTGTTCAATCCATGATGATTTGACTCTATTTTCGGCAAATAAAAAATTTGCAATGTCATTTTCCAGGGCGGAAAGGTGTTAAAGGAGCACAACCCGGTCCTGTTCTCTCTTGGGCCCAACGTGTTAAAATAGCGGTTGGTGCTGCTAAGGGCCTTGAATATCTTCATGAAAAAGCAGAACCTCACATCATCCACCGTGATATTAAGTCCAGCAATGTGCTAATATTTGATGATGATATAGCCAAGATTGGTGACTTTGATTTATCAAATCAAGCTCCTGATATGGCAGCACGGCTTCACTCTACACGTGTCCTTGGGACATTTGGATATCATGCTCCAGAGTAAGTTACCTTTGGTTTGGCTTTGCAGAAGTTCTGGCCTCCTCATATTTACATGTTCACTCTATTGGCATATAGAAAATGACCATATGTACACAACAATATTCTTTTCTGGGAGAGACTGCCAACAGGAGTAGGAGGAAGTTTATATTCTTTTCTCTTTTCTGATTGTAAAATTATTTTTGTAAGGAACCACAACTTTTTCAAGTTCTCTAAATGGTCCTCCTTTTCCCTCAAACTATTTCAATGACTCGGCAGGTACGCAATGACGGGACAGCTCAACTCGAAAAGTGATGTATACAGCTTTGGTGTTGTTCTTCTGGAACTTCTCACTGGACGCAAACCTGTAGATCACACATTACCTCGCGGACAACAGAGTTTAGTAACATGGGTACGTGAAAGTTGCTGCTTGTCCCCAGTATTTTCCTTTATTTTACCTTTTTTTTCCCATTCATTTACTTACATAAATAACTGTGCACTCTGTTTATTTCAGGCTACACCAAAACTGAGTGAAGACAAGGTCCGGCAATGCATCGATGGTAGACTTGTGGGTGAGTATCCGCCTAAGGCTGTTGCTAAGGTAAGTTATTGATTCTCGAGTTTTCCAAATTACAAGAGGTTACTGATTGTCATCTTGTCAACTTTAACATTTACGGCCAGGAATACGTCTTGTGGATATTTTATTTCAAATTTCTAGGAAATAAGACAGTACTTTCCAATCTAATTGATGTTTTGTGACAATACTTGAACTAGATGGCTGCTGTTGCCGCACTGTGTGTACAATATGAAGCTGATTTCCGGCCAAACATGAGCATTGTGGTCAAAGCCCTCCAGCCTCTTTTAAATACTCGACCAGGGCCATCGGGTGAAAGTGGCTTAACGTGAGAGGTCGAGTCAAAACACTGTTATTTATTTCTCAGGAGTTGGTAATGTTGCCATGAGAATCTTCTACTCCTCACATATATATAATTGTGTGTCAGGCAAATAAGAATGAAGTTGTAATTGGTCTGAATTTTGTGGTTCACCTTGTTTATATGATGTACTACATCAATAAAGGGAAGCCCTCAACATCGAGACTACGGGGCACTTTCATTGTTTTGCTGATTATTGACTATTGAATTATCTTCCGTGACTGTTTCTTTGCTATGGAAATGAGATTGGAGGACTGAGGCTGTGTTGCCTCTGAGTTTTCATTGGAATTGCCCCATGGTACTTTGACTAGTTTTGAAGTACTCGTGTGTGTAAATCATGATTTGAATCATGTTTTGAACTTGTGATATTAGCAGAAGATGTAATATTTCAAATAAATTGTGCTAAACTGCTAAATAAGTGAATCGTTGTTATAGTAAATTTGATCCATTAGCTTGTTTATTAAGTAAAAGCCAATAAATTAGTTAATTTAAATAAAAATCAATTCTCTTCATTGCAAATTTCTTGAACCTAATAAGTGTTGACATGTCTTGCAGTCATATTTGTTATTTTTTTTTGGTGTTTTATAATTACTAGGAAAATGCACGTGCAATGCACGTGGTGTCGGATGATTTTCGCGGAGTAAGTTTGTAAAATAAATTAATTTATTTATTAAACATATCATTGCATAAATGAGTAAAATATAGAAAAAATGAACTCATATGTGATTTTTTTTTTTTATTTAGAATTAACATAATGATGTCCTCATATAAAAATAGTGAAATAACGTTTTACAAACCCCAACAAAAATATATATAAAAAAAAATTCCTAATAAAAAAAACACAAAGATTTTCTTTGATTTTAGTTTTAACATTCTCATAAGAACATTCATAGTCGTTGGAGTCCAATACATCAATACTATTGCAAAATTCCTCTTAATTAAATTGGCAAAACGCCAATTTTATTCAAACACTTAAGAAACATTCTGACCCAACATATAGTCAAACTTCATCATCGTATGATCTTTATAACAAGGTACTTCTACTAACAAAGGATAAATATCTCTACAAAATAACTAACGGTGTCACTAAAATTGCTGATATTTTTTATCACTGTATAAACTACTACATTCTTCTATCTCTAGATATATTGATGTCTACCCCATTGATGCATCGCTCCACGATGTGGAATGAATTTTATCTCCAAATAAAGTTGACTTTCCAAAATCTTGGTTACATGTACTTCTCCCGAAGTTCTAAATTATTTTTTGAAATCATCATACATTACCTGAAAGTACCTCTAAAGTAATTGCACATATGTTCAAGCACAATACACCAATGAGATTATAAATATTTCTATAAAAAGTGACAACTTAATTCTAACATTCAAAACTGTTTTGATACTCCTACATTTCATTTTCAGTGTTATTTATCTAGAATATAGACAAAGAATATAATCTATTTTTTGCAATGATAAAACAAAATAATGAGAAAATATTGAGAAGCATATTATTTGTTAAAATATTTGACAACAGAAGAATTAGAATTTCATTATATAACGATACTTTTAGTCATTTGTAAAGTTTATTATTATGGAGCCATGATTAAAATATACATCATGTATACAATTTTGTAGATTTTTTAATTATTTAAAATTGAAAAATAAATAATATATGATCATTATTTATGAGAACCAATTTCTTACAGAGTCCATATATTTAAACGCTAGCAATAAAAAAGTAGTAATTTTAAAATATATTTTGTTTGTAAATATTGGTATTCATACTTTTCTAAGAAAATTAGCATGTTTTCTTTTTCTCATTGCATTACTATTATATTATTTGTTTCTTATTCTATAGACAAATAATATTTTATTTGCTAAGTAACTAAAGCACATTTATACGTATTATGTTCTATTTTGTATGTATTTTATATAATGAAGGTATCAAATTATCTTATTTATTAGGCTACAATTAATATAATCACATAAGATTAAATGTAATTTAATATATTTGATAAAATTGTACTTTTTATACGAATTATTAGATTAAAAAGTTTTAGAATTTTTTCCAATGTTTGATAAAATATTAATTAACTAAGTCATTGTCATAATCACTGAATACATATATGGTACCACCATTATAGGGTTCATTTTGCAGCAGTAATTGACTTCACATAGCTAATGTTATTTTATTTCCTTTCTCTGGCCTAGCCTTTCCTTTTATCTATAACTTCACATTGCTTCGCTTCGTTTGTACCCTAAGGTGCATTTGCCATAGTTTCAGCATTACGACAAGCTCGAGTCAAACATATATTGGATTTGGGCGCTCTAGCCAAAACGTGGGAACAGTTAGAAGTTTACACCTATTTTTTTACTTTTTTTTTAGTATGAATTGTTTCAAATTTATGTATGGAAAACATACCACAAGTTTATCTTATGCTATTTTATACTCAATAAAATTGATTTAACTATATTTGTATATCCTATATTATATAATATTTAATTATAATTTTTTAATTAAATATTTACAATTCATAAATTCATTAATAACATTGTCGAGTCAACTTTTGTTCATAAAATTTTTAAAAATATATTATTTTCATTGATTTGCTTATGTTGAATTGAGAAAAGTTATGTTTTTTAGTTATATATAGGGAGGATATAAGATTTCTTATATTTTTTATGTAGTATTTATTGAGTAATTGTATTTACAATTTTTCTATTAAAAATATATTAAACACGTGAACTTTTTAGTTCCTATAATTTTTTTTTCAAAAAATACTCATTATTTTATCCCAAAAATTACCTATTAATTTACCAATTGAGTTACATTTGTTACATATTAAATATTATATAATTAAAATATTTCTTGTTTTATCTGTTCAATATGATACTTATATATTATATTAAAAAACTAATATAGTAAATAAAAAAGTTATTTAAAATTAGAATAATAAAGATTTTTTTTTCTAATCTACATGTATAACTGTACAAATAACTATTGTCTATCACCTCAAATTTACACATAAAATTAATAAGAACAAAAAACTAACAAGCATTTAACAACTCAGTTCGATTACATCGATAAGTATATTTTTAGAAGGTTTATATTTAGTTATATTAATTATATTATTTTTTCTTTATTAGTTTGTTTTATATTTATTAGTACGTATCACAACTTAGTTATATTCATATTATTTCTTATATTTAATATTTTATTAAACCTTTATCTTGTTCTTTCACATGTTCTTAACTGTAGATTTGTCAAAAAAAAAAAACATAATATAAAGTATAGAATTTTTTCGATCATCTGCCTCATTACATATCAAATATTTCTATATTCTATATAATATTTTAATTAAATATTTACAATTCATAAATTCACTAATAATATTGTCGAGACAACTTTTGTTCATAAAATTTTTAAAGATATATTATTTTCATTGATTTGCTTATGTTGAATTGAGAAAAGTTATGTTTTTTAATTACATATAGGGAGGATATAAGATTTCTTATATTTTTTTATGTAGTATTTATTGAGTAATTGTGTTTACAATTTTTCTATTAAAAATATATTGAACACATGAACTTTTTAGTTCCTATAATTTTTTTTTCATAAATCTCTCATTATTTTCTCACAAGATTACCTATTAATTTACCAATTGAGTTACAATTCTTACATATTAAATATTATGTAATTAAAATATATGTTATTTTATCTGTTCAATATGATACTTATATATGATATTAAAAAAAATAATATAGTAAATAAAAAAGTTATTTAAAATTAGAATAATAAAGATTTTTTTTTAATCTACATGTATAAATGTACAAATAACTATTGTCTATCACCTCAAGTTTACACATAAAATTAATAAGAACAAAAAACTAACAAGTGTTTAACAACTCAATTCGATTACATCGATAAATATATTTTTAGAAGGTTTTATATTTAGATATATTAATTATATTATTTTTGTTTATTAGTTTGTTTTATATTTATTAGTACGTGTCACAACTTAGTTATTATTCATATTATTTCTTATATTTAATATTTTTTTAAAACTTTATCTTGTTCTTTCACATGTTCTTAACTGTAGATTTGTCAAAAAAGACATAATATAAAGTATAGAATTTTTTCGATCATCTGGCTCATTATATATCAAATATTTGTATATTCTATATTAAATTATATACAATTATAATTTTTTAATTAATATTTTAATTAAATATTTACAATTGATAAATTCACTAATAATATTGTCGAGTCAACTTTTGTTCATAAAATTTTTAAAAATAAATTTACACATAAAATTAATAAGAACAAAAAACTAACAAGCGTTTAACAACTCAGTTCGATTACATCGATAAGTATATTTTTAGAAGGTTTATATTTAGTTATATTAATTATATTATTTTTTTGTTTATTAGTTTGTTTTATATTTATTAGTACGTATCACAACTTAGTTATTATTCATATTATTTCCTATATTTAATATTTTTTAAACCTTTATCTTGTTCTTTCACATGTTATTAACTGTAGATTTGTCAAAAAAGACATAACATAAAGTATAAAATATTTTCGATCATCTGCCTCATTACATATCAAATATTTCTATATTCTATATAATATTTTAATTAAATATTTACAATTCATAAATTCACTAATAATATTGTTGATTGGTCGAAAAAAGTGTGCGGTTTATATATTTATTAGCGTATTTTTACATGCTTAATGTTATCGCACTTATATGTTTTTCGACTCATTTATTTATTAGATGGATACAAATGCTATGATATTTTTATGTTTTATTTTTAGGATATTGGAGTATTTTCATGAGCGTCATGACATTAAATGGAAGTTCCTGCCGGGGGTTGCCCATATCAGCCCAATAATGGCCCAACACCTTCTCAATTTCAGGCCCAATGACTATTATTTAAATAAATGCCCAAGGACTTACATAGGCACTATTAGTTGAAGGATAAGAGATCAAAGACCATTTGCTTCTTCGAATTAATTTGGGCCGTCAGACAATTATTTGGGTAAACTTCTTGAAGGGATCATTTGGGCCAAATTGATTGGAGCCGCTTCATGGAGGATTATTTATTTTTTTTTTTACTGGAGGACTGACGAAAAAGGGGAGGCAGCCACCAGACAACGAAAAGAAAGCAGATTTATTTGAGGACGGAGAAAAAAGAAAACAGAGCGGCGAGCAGAGGACTTACGCGAGAAGCCGACGAATTGCGGAGGGAGGCCGCACCCGTACACGAGGGAGATAATTAATCTCTCTCTTTTATCTATCTTTTCCTTTTTATTTATTATGTCAGAGTAGATTTTATTCTAGTTCCGGGGATGTCGAACCCTACGACTTGATTATGTTTGATTGATTTACGT